TTCATGTTTAAACCTTCAAAAATTAAGTTCCTAACACAAAATTTAGTTTAGGACCAGTCAAAATTTATTTAATACAATGTAATACTCCTTATATCCATCTCACCTCAAATATTTACATATAACAATTACTTGTTTTCTCTCCTCGCCCCTACTCTCTTTCACGCTCTCATCTTTCTCCTACAACTTGTCTGGTTTCTGAGCCACCAGACCTGACATGCTAATAACACTGACATTACAATGACTATGACCTCAAGTCATCGTTGGTTGTCAGGGCGGTCCGTGGGACCTTAGCTCTTGAGTCACATTGTCAGTTTGAAAGTCTGTCAGGTCTGGTAACCCAGAAACCAGACAATTTTAAGGAAAAAAGGGAAGGAAAGGAGAGAAGGAAGAACGAGAGCAAAGAGGAAGACGAGAATCTTTTAGGATAGGCAGCGTTTAGGTGTTGTTAAAATCACTTCACAGATTTTGATATGGTCTAAAAATATTTGAGTTATTCTAAAGATTTTGTCAAAATGCTCCAATTTTGGTTGTTCTAAGTTCACGAATTAACTTTGATTACAGTGCGAGCCGCGGCCTTTTGAGCTTGCGAACTTGCTCGACTGTGTTGTCCACTGACTCACGCAACAGAGGGTTGCTGTGCGATTCTGCTAGGCTATAGCGCCGCTGCGCCTGTTGCTTAATGTAGTCCTTTAGGTAAGGAACATCGAGGTCTCTATGTAGAGTTTCGTTAGAGACATACCGTGGGGCGTCAGCAATAGTGCGCAACGTCCTGCTTTGCAGAACCTGCAGATTTCGCATGTGTCTTTTAGTAATAAAACACCAAGCCGCACATGCGTAAGTCACTGCTGGTCTTATGACCACCTTATAGAGTCGAATCTTGTTAATCAAACTTAATTTTGAACGTTTACATAATAATGGGTAAAGCTGTCGAAACGTAATTTGGATTTTAATTTTTAACGCATCTATATGGTTCCGCCAAGTGATCCCTTTGTCCAGAATGACACCGAGATACTTAGCGGAGGATTCCCATGGTATTACGAAGTCCATTCATTGAAACTTCAGGCGGAACGCCGCGACGTCTTTTTGTACAATGGATTGCCTGCGTTTTCGAATGGTTAATTTTAATTAGTCACCGATCCGCTCAATCTGATACTTCCTCCACCGCACTTTGCACCCTTTCATGGACTAGGTGACCAGACCACGACTGAGCCACCAATGCAGTATCGCCTGCATAGAGATAGACTTCACAGTTGCTGGGACTAGGGACGTCATGGATGTACAGTTAGTAAAGGATAGGTCCAAGGACCGAACCCTGAGGGACGCCGGCTGTCACTGGACAACAAATTTTAGTTTTTTAATTGTATCTTGTGGGAAAAGTGCACTTCTTTGTTAATTTTGGGGCGCTGAATCCAAAAATGACAATGAAATAAAAAAATTAGTTGCGGTTTAGAAAAAAAAGATATATTAAAAAAGTAACAAGATCCATATACTTATAAGAATCACTATATGCGCTGTCTTTTTGCTGTTCTTTTATGGATCGTTTCTGGAGCATCTCTACCAAGAGTCCAACAGTAGTCTGCAAGCATGGAAGGATTCCACTTTTCCTGGTACCTTTTTTCCATTGTTGAAATATCCTGATGAAAACGTTCGCCGTGCTCATCACTTACGGCTCCGCAATTGTCAGGAAAAAAGTCCAGGTGTGAGTGTAGGAAATGTAACTTAAGAGACATATTACAGCCCATCTTTTGATACGATGACAGCATATTTTTGACAAGGGTTTTATAGTTGTCAGCTGTTCTATTTCCCAAGAAATCAGTGACCACCAGACGGAAATCATTCCAAGCAGTTTTTTCAATACCTGTTAAAGTGTTTTCAAACTGTGTATCTTTCAAAATATTTCGAATCTGTTGCTCAACAAAAATACCTTCTTTAACCTTTGCCTCACTTAGTTTTGGAAATTTCTGACGCAGGTATTGAAAAGCTGACCCATCTCTGTCTAATGCCTTGACAAAGTTTTTCATTAGGCCCAACTTGATATGCAGTGGTGGTAATAAAATTTTTTTCGAATCTACTAATGGCATATGCTGTACATTTTTTGACCTGGCTCTAGGGATTGACGAACAGGCCAGTTTTGTCCGGTGTAATAAAGTGCCTTTGCCCGACTGTCCCATTCACACAAAAAACAGCAAAACTTTGTGTAGCCTAGCTTCAGCCCAAGTAAAAGTGCAACAACTTTCAAATCGCCACAAATATGCCATTGGTGCTCATCGTATTTTATGCATGTCAATAGGTACTTCATATTGTCATATGATTCTTTCATGTGAACTGCATACCCTACAGGAAGAGATGGTAAAATATTTCCAATATGCAATAACACTGCCTTTAAACTCAATGTTGAGCTGTCTATAAACAATCTCCATTCTTCTGGGTTATAGTTTATATTTAAAGCCGCCAGTAAGCCGTTAATGTTACTGCAGAAAACCAAGTTATTCTCCATATTGAAAAATGGTTCTAAGTCTTTGTGGCGTTTACGAAAAACACATACCGAAACATCGTCTTCTAACAAGTTCCACTGCTGCAGTCTTGATCCAAGTAACTCTGCCTTACATTTTGGAAGTTCTAAATCTCTTACAAGATCATTTAATTCTGACTGTGTTATTTTGTGCGGTTGGTGGCATGACGTGCTCGGTATAAAATCAGGATCTCTTGACGTTGATGGCATATCTTCTTCCTGACGAATCACTCGATCGCAATGATCTGATTCGTTCTCTGATTCGCAAGTGTAGAATTCTGGGGGTTTTGGAATAGGATTTTCGTCACTGTGAGCCACAGGTCTCATCGCAGATGGTATGTTTGGGTAGTTAATAACCGATTTTTTTTTCTTGGACATACCTGTGGCTTGTCCAACACAAGGTACCACGCAAAAGTAACAATCATTAATATGATTTGTAGGCTCTCTCCAAACCATTGGGACAGCAAAGCGCATAGACCGTTTTTTGCCATTTAACCAGCTCCTCAGACTTGAAGCACATGTATTACAGCAGATGTGGGGTGCCCACTGTTTGTCTTGATCACCTAGTTTACAACCGAAATAAAGCTGATATGCCTTTGTTATTAGTGGAGTAATAGACCGTCTCTGAGACGCAAAAGTCACATCACCACACACGTAACAAAACTGATCTGGATTGTTTACACACTTTCGAGACATTTTGCATGAACGCTGTCAGCCAACTTAGGAAAAAATGGCTAATATAAAACAATATAATGTACACGTATGTATAACGTAACACAATCATGCCGATTACATCATCTTTCCTTGCCGAATATAAAAATGTAGCACGTGCATTCTTGTGAATTACAGTATATTAACACTGTCACAGCAGGAACACATATAATTACCGTATCTCTAAAACTTGAACTAATATTGAAAAAATAAGTTTCATTCCGGTTTTAGCACATTAAAAATAGTAATATTTTGTTGATTTGATTTAGGATATTTTTTGGCTGTTGATCAGTGAATCAGCCCTGTTGTCGACAGGACATTGTCGATTCTGATCCGAAATTTCCTACCTTCAAGGAAGGATTTCAGTAGTTTTAGATGCCAAAAAGGGAAGCTCTTTTGGATTAGTTTATACAGGAGGCCCGCGTGCCACACCTTGTCAAATGCCTTTGATACATCCAAAAGCAAGATGCCAGTACTTTCGTTAAGGGTGAATCCTCTGGTTACTCGTTCCACCAGCCTAACCGCCTGTAGCTCCGTACTATGTTCAGACCGAATACCGAATTGCACGTCAGGAATCACATGGTGATCTGACGAGAAATTCTCTAGGTCTAGCGAGCTTAGATGGAGCTGACAGCAGGCTAATGGGACGATAATCCTGGGGAAATATCGAACCCACCTTCTTTGGAATCATTATAACTTCAGCGGTCTTCCACGCGGATGGAAAGTACTGGATCCTTAGCATGGCACTGACTATTGCCACGAGATAAGTTAAGGAATTCCGCGAAAGCAGCTTCAGCGTCTTACCTGTATTAGTGATTTGATCCTCCCCAGGTGCTTTACGCACTTTAAGGTCCTTAATATGACCTTGAATCTCTGCTGGTGTGCAATGCGGGATCTCGGGAGATGCCGCTGATGTGCTAAGCAGATCTTCGGTTGAAGAAGCTTCTGAAGAAGAATGTTCTGATGAAGAAAAATCACCAACGGTACCGCGACTGTCACTGACGCCATTGACAGATACTCGTATTACGATGTGTTGCTCCTTGTCGAGGTCATTATCAAGATCATAGTTGGGAGAGAACTGTCTTTCCATAGCATCGGAGAAAACCTCAACCTTTTCCTCTGTCCTGAAGGCACCGTGGATGTGTGGGATTTGTTCGCGCTTTCCGTTTTTGAGCGACTTCGCCACCTTCCAGAGAGGAATGCTTGAGTCAAGCATCCCCGCCAGAAAGTCGTTCCATTGCTCATTGCGGAATTAATGAAGAGCATTTCTTACTTCATGAACAAGATTCGTCGCTTTGCGATTGTCATCAGGATGAATGACTATGACCTAAAGTAGTGCAAACGTTGATTTCCGCTGGTCACTAATAAAAACGAGCCCAAGTATGTCAAAAACTAATGGCTAGTCTATCGGAATATATGGAAGCTCCATGACGTGGCTACTAGTGGCAGGGAAAGCCAAAGTCGTTTGCCCTAGTCGCCAAGTGAAGGAGGATATTTTATTAGGTTATTTTGACTACGCATGCTGGTGGCGATGTCGCCATGGACTGTAAGAGATACCTACTTAAATACAAGGCTACCGTAGATACTCAGGTATGTAGTTCGTTTATCGGAAGTCAGTTTCATCAAAGATAATCGTCACCATATAAAATAGTAAATATATGATGATATTACATCAACAAAAACAGTTAGACGTTGATTCAAACTAATTACTAGTAACTAGAATGCTTGCTGATGATGCTAATGACATATGATTATTCAAATTATAGCAAATAATTTATTTAGGATATGATCTCAGAGAGAAAAACAAGTTGCAATTAATACGCTGTATTCTATTTTGGGTACAATTTGTCGTACGGTATTCGAGTAACAGATTTAAATATAAAGTTTTCGAAGAATTCTAAAAGCACCTTCTCAATGGTGGGTAGCAGCTCTTCGACAATGATGCTTAGATTATCATCAATAACATGCTTGGCAATCTTATCTGTAACAACGATGATATAATATTAACTCTAGCTCAGATATGCCATGTTTTCAAGAGAAAAACAATAAGGGAATATCGTTATTTAGTAGAAATATCAGTGGGTGGCTATTTACAATATTCCAATATTTTTGAATCTACTGACGAATACAATTATTATGCCAAAAGGAGACCAGGAATTTAAAAAACTCATATAAGTAAATCTTAAGGACATTTTGGTTTCCAGTGATTCTGTAGTTTGATAGTGTTGGTGCTCTCTGTACTTACTTATTTCATCACTATTTCCAAATAATCCGTCAAAACCGTAGTCTATAATATTCCCAACTTTGAACTTGGGAACTGTCTTGATTGGCTTCAAGAAATCCATTCCGTTCTTCTTAATCACAATCACATTTTGCAACATGAGACATGACGAGTTACCTGATGGATCGATCAACGATTAGCGACTATGCGACATAGTTTAATCCCACATACAAATGAAAACTGAACATTTTTGAAGCACATTGATGTTTTTAAAACGGTGAACAAAAATCAACTACAGTATATTCAGATAAGAGATAGACCGGATGTAAACAAAAGGTTCGGGTGATTTTCACGCTAACGCCGCCGTCTCGACGTAAAACAGGAGCCCTCATTGGTCAATTCGCAATTAAATGCCTATGCCGAGCGGCAGAGCAGTCGTATCAAGGCAGAGTCACATTCAGGTTCAGACATGTTACGTATGTCGTGTGCATAATTGCAATTTGATATTTCTTTGGACGTTTTCGTTTGTTATCTTATTAAGTTGTTGAGTTTGTCGTTGTTATTGTTATACCTTGTTATTGATTGTTATTGTTATCAACTGCTTGCGCAAAATGCCCAGTAGTACAGATATTGCCGATGAAGTTGTAAACTCCTGTAGTCCACCTAGGAAACGCTCTAAAAAAAGACACCTGAGTGCAGAAATGAAAGAGGTCATTTTGAATATATATAAGATCAAGCGCGAGGAGAACGAAGCATCAACCATCAAAGAAATTGTTGTGAAGGTTTCTCACAAAGTTGGGGTGTGTCGCGCATCAGTGTTTAATGTGTTAAGACAATACAAAAAAAATCACACCTTTTCTGAGCCAATGACCAGTAAACATCGCAAAAGTATTGTTAAATCATTGGATGAAGCTGATAAGCATGCGATTAGCAGGAAAGTGCATGAATTCTTCTTTAGGAATGAAATATCTACTATAGATAAAGTACTGCAGGAGGTAAATGGAGATACAACGTTGCCAAATTTCAAACGATCAACTTTCCATGCGTTACTGAAGCAATTAAATTTCAAATGGAAAAAACGGGGTAGTAATAGTTTACTACTGGATAGAGAAGAAATTGTGCTATGGAGGAGGGATTATTTAACAAAAATTGGGAAATATGGAAATCAAAACAGGAAGATTTATTACCTTGATGAAACGTGGGTAAACGCAGGACACACTACAAGTAAAGTATGAGTTGATGATTCTGTAACTTCATCCAGGAGGGCCCTTCTAGATGGACTGTCCACCGGATTAAAAAATCCAGCAGGTAAATACGAGTAATAGACAACAATCGGATGTTTTTCAAACCTTGGGAACAAGGTTCTAAACATTAATTCCAGGGGGCAGATAAAACATGTTACAAGTAACAAAACTTTTATAACTTTCGATAAAATGCGTGGATGTTTTATTGTCATTTTCATTTGTTAGAACTTTTTTAAGCCATGTTTTTATGTGTTTTCGATATTTCAATAATTTTTTAATATAATCTTAAAATATGTCGAATATTATAAACTTAAAAAAAGTTACTAAGTTTTATATTGTGTACCTTTTCCTAATATTTCTAATCATTTTAATTCATTCTTTAAGCTTTATAAAGTTATAATTTGTTAATATTAATATTTGCGCGTATTTCAGGTTCCTGATCATTTATTTTTTAAAGGTTTATAACTTTAAATTAAATTGTGAAGCGCTGAGTAATCATACGACGTTCAATATTCTTTCTTTCAATATGACTAAATAATCCCAATTATAGCAATCTGATACTCATGTCTCAATGTTTTTTCGCTGAATGTGATGAAAACATTTGAAAAAGGTTCGCTTATTGAAATAAATCTACACCAGTTAGTACTTCGATTTCCAGGTAAAGCGAAAAGGCTCATTATCTGCCATATTGGCAGTGAGGATGGATTTGTTGTTGACGGTATGTGGTGCTTTGAGTCTAAGAAAACTGGAGATTACCACGAGGAAAGGAATGGCGAATCGTTTGAACAGTGGTTTTCAAAAATTTTACCGAACTTAGAGGAAAACGCAGTAATTGTGTTGGATAATGCGCCTTATCATTCTCGAAGAATGGAGAAGGTCCCAACAACGGCTTCAAGGAAAGTTGATGTTCAAAATTGGCTCCGTTCGAAAAATATCAACTTTGAAGAAGCAATGCTGAAAGTACAATTATTAAGAATTGTCAAGGATCACAAGGCGGAATATCAAAAATACGCCATTGACGAAATGGCAGCAAGTCAAAATAAAACTGTGCTCCGTTTACCTCCATACCATTGCGAGCTCAATCCCATTGAGCTCATATGGGCAGAGGTTAAAAATTATATAGCTAAGCACAATACAACTTTTAAATTTTGTGACCTCAAAGGACTTTTCAAAGAAGCACTAGAATTAATAACAGCGCAAAAATGGGAAAACTGTATTAAGCACGTGAAAGACAAAGTTGAAAAGAGAATGTGGGAACTGGACAATATTTTAGAGGAACAAGTCGAGCCATTCATTATTGACGTTGGTGCTTCAGGCAGTAGCGATGATGAAAGCTCATCAAGCTCATCTTTCCAATAAAAGATGTCGTTCATCAAATTCGGTAAGTTATAAGTAATTATAAAGCTACTGTATTTTTTAATTAATTATTGACATTTTTGAACCCATTTTGGCAAAACCTATTCAAGAATCTACTTTCTGACAATGTTCAACCATGCACATTTTTTTACGTTTTGAACGTTTTAATTTGGTTACATATTTACCTAGAAATCAAAAAATGTACTAATCAATATTCTAAAAGCATTTTTAAGAGATATACGATTATTTTTAATTAAGGCTAATTTAAACGCCATTGTGAGATTATATTCGACTGTATTTCACCAAACATCAGGCGGCATCCGAAGCTGGAAATCGAAGCGAAAATTTTGAAACCCTTATGTATATTTACATCATTATATATTTCTTACCCCACCCCCACATGATACTATATCCATCACCAATCGTATACACATCGAATTGTGCTAATTTACTACAAAGTTACGCAAAGCAGCATCTACTATCTAAAACATGTACTGCGTGACTCTTAATACGTCCCTGCCGAATGTTACAGCGTTCGATGATCACGTGGTCTTGTTTATGTCCGGTCTATCTCTTATCTGAATATACTGTAGCTTGTGTTATTTCAATAGTGTTCCACCATTCTAAGCAAAAAAAAAACATAAAAAATACAAAGTGTAATCGTGAAAGTTCCAGTAGTTTTCTTAAAATAAAGTTAGAAAAAGAGATATAAATGATATGACCAAATTTTATTTTTTCACAAATATCTCAGTGCGCCATGAAATTCTCAGAGGCATGTACCTAAATATGCCCCAAAAATTGATGCAATATATTTCTGAAGGATAAACTCATTCAAATGTTATCACGGTGCTTAATGACATAACAATAGGTGAAATTGATTTCTAAAATAGTCGATACATAAAAGTACTCGGGGTCTTAGTGACAAGAATATGGAGATAGATAATGTACACACTGCGTTTATGGACATTGTCATTATCAGGGCTATAAAATATCTATACTTGAAAAGGTATTTAGCACGTCTATAAAACGGCAGTTAACAGCTCAGTTAACAGATAGTTAATTGTAGTTATTGAACAAAGCTGCCTCTGACATTAATGAATAAACAAAGGCGATTATTCCATGCTGAATTTATGAAGTATTGTGTTTGCTCTTAATACTGTACGATTACTTACTCAACTTGACGTGGAAACTGCCACTTCCTCTAATAGGTGCGAAAAATATTTTCCCTTCAACAAGGTAGTTTCCTTCTATGTAAATGTGGGGTATGTCAACGTCGATGAAGAATGTCAAATTTTTGTGATCAAAGCTGCAAAAAGGCAGGTTAGTGGAAATGTGGGTGAAGTTATAAGGGAAGAGGCTAAGTAGAGCGACTCAAATAGCTAACAAATCTATATCATATGTTTGAATTATACAGGGTGGCGCATCGAAAACAAAACAGACGCATTAACTGGCAGCTCAGTTTTTTTTAAAATACTCAGACTCGTCGATTTTGTTTTCGAGGGGGACACAAGTTTGGCAAAAAATCACATAAGCACGTGCAGCCCCCTAAGCGGGGGTGACACCACCCCCAAAATCTTAAATGGAAACGGGGGTCGAGTGATACCTTGTTTTAAAGGTCTTTCAATTCCCTTTATAATTAATGTACTTCATTTCAGTAGTTTTGAAGATTGATTGATTTAAAGCTTAAATAAAACTAATACATCATCATTAGTGGAGATCAATACATTTGGCAGCAATGTAATTTAAAAATGAAGAATGAACTGACCCGTTAGGCAAGTAAATGTTGCCGCACATTTACAATATTTGAGGAATAATTTGAAGGCACTCATTCACAATTCTTTGCCGCAGGTCTTCTAATGATGTTGTCTGAGTAGCATAGATTTTGCTTTTTAAATGACCCGACATAAAGAAATCCAAAGGTGGTAAATCTGGCGATCTTGGGGGCCATTCGATGGCACCTCTTCTACCAATCCATCGATTTGGAAATGTCTGATCTAAGTATTGTCGAACACGTAATGCGTAATGTGGTGGGGCACCATCCAGTTGGAACATCAACCTAACCTACCCATAAAGTATATTCCTAGTTTTTCAAAATCTATATAGTGGTTACTGACAAAGCAGACAGTACGACAGATGAAACATCGCCAGTCAGTCAAGAGGCTAAAAACTATTTCCCAACATTTTCTTAAGCAAAGGATATTTGTCTTCTATTGTCCATGCCATAAAAACAATAATGATATGAATCACCCTGTAAAAATATAATTACTCGATGTCCATACAAACAATTTTTTGATAACCTATTCTACACGTGTCCCAAAGTAAGACAGCACTACCCTGAATATAACAACAAAAAAGTGCGGGACGTTATCAAATGAGGCACCAAAGAAAACCTTTAAAAGTCATAAGATCAAAGGCTTTTCCGGGAGTGCACCTTCTACTGGTAACTCGGTATTCTTTAATAGAACCAATAAGTCCGCCTTAGGTGAGGAGAATGGTCACGGCACTTTGACTTACTTGAATCTTTTAAATTTGTAGTCCTCCAATCCATACAAAGTAACGTTACTCAACCGAGCTCTATAGTTCAAAACGTCATTTCCGTCTTGCAAGGTCACTGCGGGTATGCTAAAATTTATTACACTTGGAATGAAGCCCGGCACTCCGGAAATCATGTAGGGTCTCACAGTCTCAGTGGCTGCTATCAAGCATTTTTCGATTTGAGGGTCACATCTGCGACAACTTGGGAATCCAGGTGCTAGAAACAAGTTGAAACAAGAAAAAAAATAAACAAGACTTTGTAAATGCGACAGATTCTACGCATCAAAATTACCTAAGCAGTGGGTTTTCGTCAAGGTGGCGGATATGTTAGAATTTTGGATATCTTTTGGATATATTGTGACCCCCATATACAGGGTGGCGCATCGAAAACGAAACAGACGCATTTACTGGCAGCTCAGTTTTTTTTTTGGAAAAACGCTCTGACTCGTCGATTTTGTTTTCGAGAGGGACACAGGTTTGGCAAAAATTCATGTTAGCACGTGCTGCCCCCTAAGCGGGGGTGACACCACCCCCAAAATCTTAAATGGAAAGGGGGGTCGAGTGATACCTTATTTTAAAGGTCTTTCAATTCCCTTTATAATCATATAAAATTAATGTACTTCAGTTCAGTAGTTTTGGATATTTATTGATTTAAAGCTTAAATAAAACTAATTCATCATCATTAGTGGAGATCAATACATTTGGCAGCCAAGTAATTTAAAAATAAAGAACGAACTGACCCGTTAGGCAAGTAAATGTTGAAAATGGCCACCACGACTCTCCATGCAATAGTAAAAATTTTGGTCAAAACGTTGCCGCACATTTTGCAATATTTGAGGAGTAATTTGAAGGCACTCATTCACAATTCTTTGTCGCAGGTCTTCTAATGGTGTTGGCTGAGTAGCATAGATTTTGCTTTTTAAATGACCCCACATAAAGAAATCCAAAGGTGATAAATCTGGCGATCTTGGGGGCCATTCAATGGCACCTCTTCTACCAATCCATCGATCTGGAAACGACTGATCTAAATATTGTCGAACACGTAATGCGTAATGAGGTGGGGCACCATCCTGTTGGAACATCAACCTTTTCGCAATGTACCGCCGATCATTCTGATTTTCAATTATGTCTGTTAATGCAGGATCTATGGCGTCTTCCAGTAATTCCAAATACATTTCACTGGTCAAATTTCCAGGTAAGAAAAAAGGACCATCTAAATGATCACCAAAGATACCAGCCCAAACATTTAATGTTTGTGGCTGCTGTGTATGAACCTCATGATAAATTCTGGGATTAGAATCGGACCAATATCGGCAGTTATGACGATTTACTACGCCATTTAAAAAAAAGGAACATTCGTCGGAAAATCAAGTGTTGAATAGAAAATGTTCATCATTTATAATTCGTTCACTCATATCTTCACAAAATTGTAATCGCCGATCAAAATCGTCTTCATTAAGTTCTTGTACCAGGTGAATTTTATACGGATGAAAACTATGGGCCTTTAGAATTCGTTGGACAGTACGTCGACTAACACCACTCACAGTCTCCAATTTGCGGGTACTTAACGTAGGATCTACATAAACTTGCCCTAAAACCCCCACTTCTATTGCTTCGTTCCTTATGGGATTTTCAATGTTGCGTTTTTTATTGGCGACTGACCCAGTTTCCCGAAATTTAGCTACAAGTACTAGAACATATTTTCGATGCACGTTACTGTTCTCATATCTCTCATATTTCTGCTGTTCTATTGGCGCACTGATTATTTCCGAAAAATATTTCGATAATTTCAACTCTTTCTGCTGTGGAATATACCATGGTTAATTTATGTAATAAAGCGTTACAAAGTTATTTTAGCAACAAAGTTTGGTCAAACCAATCGCAAACTATGTACTAAATTCCTATTTAAAATAAGTACGAGATATTTCCTTATCTTTCTTCAAGAAATAACTTTTTGCCACAAAAAAACGCTCCAATAGCTATTTTCAACAACAAAATGACAAACAAACCATGGGCGTAGTAAAGAAAAGCATTTACTGATTAAGTAAAATCTTTTAGTCAAATTTCTTCTGAAAGTAGTACAAATTAATCTGATGTACCTATTGAAGTCTACTTTAAGCTTTAAATCAATAAATCTTCAAAACTACTGAACTGAAGTACATTAATTTTATATCATTATAAAGGGTATTGAAAGACCTTTAAAATAAGGTATCACTCGACCCCCCTTTCCATTTAAGATTTTAGGGTTGGTGTCACCCCCGCCCAGGGGGCTGCACGTGTTAACGTGATTTTTTGCCAAACTTGTGTCTCCCTCGAAAACAAAATCGACGGGTCTGAGCGTTTTTCCAAAAAAAATAAAACTGAGCTGCGTCTGTTTCGTTTTCGATGCGCCACCCTGTATACTTCTTTAGACTATGCACGCGAGCACTAACCAAAATAATGTAGACCTAAATTAGTATTTTGCTGAAAATGTAGATATTGGTGACTTTAGGAGCTTTATTCATGAGTGATGAGATGATAATTTTAATACTGAGTATGCGTAGCTACATAGTACGGAACAACTGAACTCATCGACTTCATATATTTTCAGTAACATACCAAGTTATGTTTAAATGCTTTTTTGTGGTATATATATATATATATATATATAGAGCTTCAGCCTTTAGTTGGATACTTCGATTAGGACTCTTATACTTTATTAGTCTCTAGCTTTCGATGAGCTATGTCGTCATCTTCAAGAGCTACAATAACATTAGGAAGAAATAGCAACTACTGTGCAAAATGATTTTACATTACAACAGTATGTGGGATTGTTGCTAAATGTTATTAGAGGTTAGGTTGTTAATAGTATAGTATTGTAGCTCCTGAAGATGATGGACATAGATCATCATAATCTTATCGAAGTACTCAACTAAATGCTGAAGCTTTTTCTCACCTAACTGGAAGTAAGAATATATATATGTTGAAGTTGAGTCATTAATTTTCAGATAATGATTGTAGAAGGAAGATAAACCAAAATATGTGTGTAAAAATAAAAAAAAATAAAAAAAAAAATTTTACCTTGTTTTATAAAGTATCCTCCCGACAAGTATTTCAGTGCGGACCTGTATTTGATCGTGAGGTCCCCTGTGAGGTCTTAGGTCACCTGATTCACGAGTCCGTTGTACTACATTAACAAAGGCACGAGGGGTTGGTTGCACTCGATTGGGAAACCGATCCGCATAAACATGTGCCATTTTTTATTTCGTTTGAGCACGCAACAGACACTATTCACACGCGACTGACACTGACTGTATGTATAACTGAACTGAATAACATAATTGTAAAAACATCGTTCCAAATTCCTTCGCTTTTTTGTTTCCGATGCGATGAACCGATAAGGCGGATTATATCCGTTGTTGCCAAACACGAGCACATGATATTATTGAGACAGGGCGGTACTCAAACTTCCAAAGGGCTATAACTTTGTTACTTTAATTTTACCAGAAAAATGGTAAAGGAAAAAACATTTCTTTTGATCAGATCTACTGACTGTTAAAATAAATGACTCAACTTCGAAGTCACCCTGTATATATGTATATATATTTTTTTTTGTTTTTTTGTTGAGACGTGGTCATTGTCGTTTAGACCAGTTAGGTGAAAAATTAAAGCTTCCGCCTTTTGTTGGGTACTTCGACAAAATTTAAGCAAAGAGGACTCTTTATACTTTTTTTAATTCTCTCTAGCTTTCAATGGACTTTGCCTTCATCATCAGGAGCTGCAATTACAATGATAACAGTAGCAACAAAAGTGTAAAATGAATTTAAATTGAATCAACTTACAGTAGTATGTGAGGATGTTGCTAATTGTTGTTTTCGTATAGGATGAGGGAAACGGCCAGTAACATGGTGAGAGCTGGATACATGGTACAATGGTTAAAATTATATAAAATATGACAAGACATCTCACTCATTATTCCATGACCACCATTTTGTGCAATCATCAAGTTGCTTCACGACGTAATGCTCTAATGTTTTCTAAATAATTTTTAATCTGCCTTTAACTTGTCTTGTCATATTTTATATAATTTTAACCATTGTACCATGTATCCAGCTCTCACCATGTTACTGGCCGTTTCCCTCATCCTATACGAAAACAACAATTAGCAACATCCTCACATACTACTGTAAGTTGATTCAATTTAAATTCATTTTACACTTTTGTTGCTACTGTTATCATTGTAATTGCAGCTCCTGATGATGATGGCAAAGTCCATTGAAAGCTAGAGAGAATTAAAAAAAGTATAAAGAGTCCTCTTTGCTTAAATTTTGTCGAAGTACCCAACAAAAGGCGGAAGCCTTAATTTTTCACCTATATGTATATATATATATATATAGACCGCTTTTAGCTGGGTACTTCGACAAGATTCAAGCAATGAGGACTCTTTATACTTCATTGGTCTCTAGCTTTCGACGGACTATGCTATCATCATCAGAAGCTACGCTCCCAGCCCAGGTAATTCTATGCAGACATACTTCACACGTCCAAGATTTCCCCTTAGATTTCCCCTTAAAACTTAGAATGATGCAGAAATGATTTCGACACGCGTCTCTGCTCCTGCTCTCTGGCTTCACCGGCATGCGTGTCGGACTTGGTAAATGTCCTGGTATTACTGCTGCTGTGTCGGTCTGACGCTTTGTGCGTCGGTATCGGCGAGAGGTGTCGTTGCCAAATGGACGGTATTATGGAAAGAATGTCTATGGACTAATTGCATGAGCCTATTTGACAGACGTCATCCATTTAATTTCTCTGTAATACATGTTCGTAACTCACTTTTTACTCAGAACATCTAAATTGGGCTGAACATACTCCTATATGAACTGATGACCGTGTTGTGTGAAAAGTGCAGAGTTAAGCTACTTGACGCCATTTTGTATAGCCGAAGGTGCGGGTTTTCCTCCAACTGGCAGTAATGTAAGGATCTTTGAAAATGTTTGTCGGTATTAAATGTTTCAAAGCGTCTAGCGAGTGGAATTCGAACCAGTGGGGTAATTTAGGCCGCTGATTTCAAATATGACCATGAAAAATCCTAGTGTCGTCGATTTGGTGTATGAAAGTGATTAGCAGAACCTATGTGAATGCATTTTTTGGTCATTTATTGTCTTTGTTTAATTCAATGATACAATATTTATTTTTTTACTCACGTAACTCCTCTAACAAGCTTGTCACAACTCGAAACGATAAAGCAACAGCACTGACCAGAAACCATGTTCGCTTATACATGTTTTACAAGGAAGACTGCATTCGAACAAGTAAATGCTACGATGAAAACAAGCTAGTAGGCACCGATTTGTTTATTTCGATTTTTTTTAAGGCTATTACAAAATCATCGAAGTGGTTGGCATTGCACTTTGGAGCGTCATGTAGATTATTTTTTCATTCACTTTGTTGCAAGTGTGGATACTGAGTGATGCATCAGATTGAAAAAGTGGAGAATAACAGTTTACTATGGATTAAAAGCCACTGGTCAACAAAATTTTAACTTTTTCGTGCCACACGGACTTTTTTGATATTTTTTACTTTAATTGGTGATTGTAAGAAAAAATGAACAGTTAAAAAAAATTTGCTAGACAAGGATTTTATTCTATTGAGTAATTTAAAATATTAAGAAAAAACACAGATCTCGTAAATCAGAAGTTATTTTTTTTTATAAATGACTTAATAATATAAGATTTTCTTGAATATTTAGCTTCTGGTTGGTCCCTTTTAATTGTCCAGCAGTAATCTGCTAACATATTTGGGCTCCATTTGCCCTGGTACCGCTTTTCCATATTAGAAATGTCCTGATGGAACTTCTCACCGTGCTCGTCGCTGACAGCCCCTAAATTGTCAGGAAAAAAATCCAGGTGCGAGTCTAAAAATTGGATCTTAAGTGACATGTTGCAACCCAATGCTTGATATGACAATAATAGCTCGCTAACCAACTCTCTGTAGCTGTCACTCTTGTGGTTACCCAAAAAATTTGAAACAACATTTTTAAAAGCCTTCCATGCAGATGTTTCTAAATCGCTCAATTTTTCTTCAAATCTTGAATGTTTTATCAACTCCCTAATTTGAGGGCCAACAAAAATACCCTCTTTCATCTTTGCATCACTTATTTTAGGAAATTTTTCTTTTAGATACAAAAATCCGCTCCCATTGCGATCCATTGCCTTCACAAAATTTTTTAATAATCCTAATTTGATATGCAATGGTGGTAGAAGCACATTATTTGGCTGTACAAGGGGTAAATACTTTACGTTTTTTTGCCCAGGAAGTAACGATGCACGCGTAGGCCATGTTTTTTTTATATAGTGATTAGTTCTGTCTCGGCCATCCCATTCACATAAAAAGCAGCAAAACTTTGTATAACCCAGCTGAATTCCAAGTAATAGTGCAACAACTTTAAGATCACCGCAGACTTTGAAGGAATATGTACTGTAATTTATTTTTTCAAGTAAAAGTTTCATATTTTCATAGGTTTCTTTCATATTTGCAGCATGGGCCAGAGGTACAGACGGAAGCTTATTTCTATATAATAGTTCTGACTGCTTTTTTGACAAATTTAAATCCCGAACCAAATCATTTAGGTCTCCTTGAGCTATCAAATGTGGCTCGTTTACAATTCCTTTTAACTCAAAGTCATCGTCCTCGTCAACACATTCACCTGAAGTGGACGGTTTAGAATTGTTCTCAACAGACGTAGTTGCAACTGGTATTAGTTCTGGCAATTTTTTACCATGAGAGACTGGTCTTATAGCCGAAGATAAGTTAGGTTAAATAACTGTGGTTTTTTCTTGTAATTTATACCTTTTATGTCTGTGAGACAAAAATAGCAATCTGAAACGTGATCTCGCTATTCAGTCCATATCATGGGTACAGCAAACGGCATAGGTCGTGCACCTTTCTTCCAGTCAGTTAAATTTTTCACACACGTTATGCAACAGACATGAGGGGCCCAGGATTTGTCTTGATGGGCGACAGAAAAACCAAAACATTTTTGATAACACTCCAACACAAGATTCGTAAAATTTCGTCGTTGTTTTTTGAATGTTAGTTCTCCGCAGACATAACAAAAAGAGTTAGGATCATTATTACACTTCCTCGACATATTCACAGGGTTAATAAATCACAAAAAGTGTTCAAATTCAACAACAAATATTTTTATAAGGATTTACTTGTAAGCGTTTCTGTTAATTTACTGCCGTAGTACTAGTTATGAGTATTACCGTATCACAACAAATATGAGGCTAATAGACATATGACAGCTGTCATGTAATAATGAGGGTAGACTGATAAAACAAAATTAGCTACTTCGTGTGACAAAACCAGTGTTGACCAGTGAAGTGAATAGCTCGTATTGAATGCCGTCTAGTAAGAAAGCGTCACTGGTTGATTTGATTGTTTCTCTTTAAACCGCGTCAAGCAAGGGCAGGTTTAGTTATATCAGCAACTTTCCCGGAAATTTCGAAATTATTTCAGGCAGTTCTATCAAAATGTTCTCAAAATTATTTCGTCTACCAAAACCATCCACTTTGAGATGAATTATTTTCTAGAGCCCCTGAAATTGAAAATGTCTTTGTGACAATTGAAGAGAGATGGACAACAAAAAATGACCCATTGCATCATCGCCTCGCTACCCCCCCCCCAAATCAATTCATCCCCCCAATTTCCTTCAAGCTCTTTACCGTCTCTAACACCGTACTTTGCGAAAGATTGAACAAAAAGGCTACCTTCACTATGATAATCAGGTGATTGCGAAACATTTTGTAATTGGCGTTTTATGCTTTGGATATGTTGGACAATATACACAAGGTGTACCATAGGTATGGATACACCCAAATATCACGGAAACTAAGGATGCTAGAAAAAATTGTATATACTAAAGCTTCAGGAAATCAAATGACATATCTAGTGATGGTGTTGGTCATTACAAGGGTAACTTGGATCTTCTCTAATTGGAAACCCCATATTTTACTGTATAGATAGAAAGTCAAAAAAATTCCTTTTCAACAGTATAAATGCTATATTGTCTTGAATTAAATCGAAGGTTATTTTAAGGTCAACTGTTTCTCTTTCATGGATTGCAGTGAAAGGAAAAGAAAGAATATTACAGACCTTTATTGCAAAAATTGCAAGAAACCCAACGGGACGTGTGATGATGACCTTCACTCTGACCTTGGCGATGACTTTGAAGGTCGATTCAAGATTAAATTAATTTTTTCATATGGAAACCCTCAATTTCGATCCCAGCGCGGGAAATGGAGAAAAATCTTATGTTCAAAGGTTTAATTAACGGAGGTATACTCACACTTAAAGGTTATCTCAAGGTCAAATAACTTATTTTCGTGGATTAAACTGGTTTGGAACTCAAAGTTTTTTCCTGGCATCCTTAGATTCCGAGATAGTCCAGAAGCTCGCCTCTCCATCACCATACTTATATCAAAAGTACAAAGTATGGAAACTAAAGAGCCTGTTATGCTAGCGCTTGTTCTGCAATTCTTGTAAATATCTTTTTGACTGTACTTTAAAACTCCGGGAAGACTAGATAGTCTTCAGATCCTGACCAAAGCTGTTGTAAGATAAAATCGCACCGTAAGTAAGAGACTCCTGAAAGGTGTTGTGTGATGTATTGTTAAGATGCAATGGTTACGAACCTGAAGATCATGCACAGACGCCCTTGGAACAAGTTTACAGCTGAGGTATATATCTTTTATGGAGCTTAGAGATTTTGAAACCACGAATGTCCATATATTATATACTAAGTGACATATAAATCCGAACACCCAGTTTAAATGGTTTTATTTTAATAAAAGTTGGTGAATGTATTTATCTTACTGTAAATAACAAGTGAAAAAATTTTCAGCCTTATCAGTTGGACATTCCGGTTTTTATACTGCTTTTTTTTAATTCACTAACGCTCTAAAAATGAATATTTCAGCCGCAGTGAAGAATCAACGTTGGCGGATTTTGGTTCTTGACATCCTTTACGATCGGTTACGATGCCTAGAGTACGGGGACCTGTACGATTTCGTCAACTTAGTGAGTTTGATAGGGGCCGTATAGTGGGACTTCGGGAAGCGGACCTTCTTTTCGGGCAATTGCAGTTAGAGTGCAAAGAAGTGTAGACACTGTGGTTAGGTGCTGTCAGGCATGGCTTCGAGAAGGCCGTACGCAAAGAGCAAGGGGCACTGGACGCCGCCGTAGAACAACAGACCGTGAAGATCGCCGCCTAAGATTATTGGCCTTAAGGGACCGTTTCTCCACTACCAGGTCCATTGAAAATGAATGGTTTGCAGAACACGGAAGACCTATTGGCATGCGAAGTGTTTACCGACGAATGAGAAGTTTTGGCTTGTTTTCATACCGGCCACACTGGGTCCTCCCTTTAACTCGAGAACACCGACGTAATCGCCTTGAGTGGTGCAGACAACGGTCACTCTGGGATCAGGAATGGATTGTCTTTAGTGACGAGTCTCGATTTTGTTTAGGCATGCACGATGGTCGTGCCAGGGTTAGAAGGCGACGTGGTGAAAGGAGGAATCCACAGTTTTTTGTTGAAAGACATGTTCATCACACTGTTGGAGTTATGGTTTGGGGTGCTATAGCTTATGGTTCCAGGTCACCTTTAATCTTCATCAGAGGTAACATGAACGCGCAGCGTTATATCCACGAAGTTCTAGAACCCCATCTTTTACCCTATCTTGACACCCTGGCAGATCCAACTTTCCAACAAGATAATGCCCGACCAGATGTTGCAAGAGTGACAATAGAATTCTTTCAACATAATGATGTCACATTGTTACCATGGCCACCAAGATCTCCCGACTTATCCCCAATTGAGCACGTGTGGGATATGATGGGTAGGAGATTGCTCAATTTGCAACGTCCTCCTCAGACTCTAGAAGCACTTCGAGAGGAGTTGGTGGTTGCCTGGAATGAGATACCACAGGAGGACATTGACCACCTGATCAGAAGCATGCCTAGGCGCGTTGGAGAATGCGTGGCACATCAGGGTGCATCCACACATTATTAAAGGTCAAAGAGCTTTAAAGCAGTGCAATCATTGTGAAATTTTGATCATTCACTTACTATGCTTCATTAAGTACTTATACAAAATTTTATTAAAATAAAACCATTTAAACTGGGTGTTCGGATTTATATGTCACTTAGTATATTTACTACTAATAGAACTAGAAGTACTGATCAATTTACTTATATTTTCTAAATTTGCAGTCTTTTTACTCACTCTTTTTATTCCGAATAAAACCACATGAATTTTTTAAGAACTTTTATATCAAAATAACTTAACATAAAACTTACATAGGATCACACATCCTTATAATTATGCACTCAATAATGTAGATAAAAGCAATATGCTTTATTTTATAACAATTTTATTGAGCAAGATATCAAGT